TCCCCAAGGACAGGTGTATGTGTGTGTGTGTGTGTGTGTGTGTGTTTGCATTTATGCATTCTTGAATGCAAGTGAAGTCATTTTAGTGAAAGAAGGATTTCCATTCTCTGTGGGTGTATACAGCGGTGTGTGCACATTAACGGAGGAGAGACGCATGTTTTTCATGGTCCTTCGTGTGCGAGGTTGTCTTAGTGAGCCAGGGCTTTGTGTTTTGTCCATCTTTGTGCATGCGTACTCATTCGCCTTGTGTACCTCTTGTGCGTAGACACCCCAAGCTCCAGCAGCAATGTGGTGTGTTCCTCCACAGGTGCTATTTCAGTCAGCCGACTGTCATCCCAAAATGCTTTTCAGCTGAGTGCTTTTCAAAACAATCGTCACTGGTGCCCTGGGCTCTTTTTACAACGGCCCTCTGCCGCGCTGAGGTTTAACATGCCGCCTGTGATCTGCTGATCAGCACAGGGGTGTATGGTATGTGTGTAGAGGGAGATTGGGTGGGTGGTGGGGACTTGGATGCCCTTTTGTCTGCTTATCATTATGTGTGTCTTGTCTTTATTGGTTCCCTTTAATCTATAAACCATTTGTCCCTTAACCAAGCCAGTGAATTAAGACTAATATTTTTATATGACAGCTTGGCAAAAGACGTGTGGGGTATTTTGATGTGGAGGCGGGGAAGTGGATTGAACAACAAATGTCTGAACAGCTGGGAAAAGGCCGGTATCACAAGACTGAAGTACTCATCAGTTAGCACGACATGGTGCAGTAATACACAGCAAATGGGTACAACTCATGGATAAGCACACGGTGCACATTCAAAGACGTGTGGCATTGTTAAAAGCTTTAATAATGTCATGCAAGCTGTGAAAAGTCATGTCAGAGACAGCAGGAAAGTGCAGATTTTAGTCAGATATTAGCTCTGTTAAAAAGTGCATGTAGGTACTTTAAATGGATATGTACAAATAGCAAATGTCCAACTCATTGCTTTTATTTTCCACCTTCTCTGTTCAGATGACTTGATTTGTTTAACTGCACTAGTCTGCACTGGGCAACATTTGTTACTTATGTTTGTGTGCACCTGTAGTCGTCTCCTTCGGTCACTTTGTGGCAGCTTTGAGTGCGATAGGCTTCAGTAGCACCACTTTAACAGCTACATCTTTTAGCAGCATTGGCAGGGGCAGGTACCCTGAAGTCAGATTGTTTGGTACACAGCGTTTTAAAAATGTGGAGTCCAAAGAAATATGTCACCCGTAAACTGTGCAAGTCAGCTCATAAGGACTCTCTACAGCACTCACATGCGCTGTTGTTTAGTCTGATAAAACTTCAGCTAGAAACCTGACTTCTGCTGTGTGTTGCACTTTTATCGAGGTGTTTTAAGCATTTTTCAGATTAGTGGAGCTGCATTTTTGACAAGTGTTACGGTGACACGGTTTAGAAGGCAATGTACTGTTGACATCTAAGGATGCTTTCCTCTTGATGAGACGAGCTCTGGTGCATTTTAGCATGTGGGCTAGAGCAGCTTTCAAGCAGACTACTATGTGTGAAAGCAAAGCAGACCAGCCACAGGATTTTATGACGGTAGATATGTGAGCTTAGCAAGAATCCAAAAGCTAAGATTCAGCCAAATCAATCTTGTGGTTATGAACTGTTAAGTCAGTGATCTGTTAAAGAGATGCAGGATGTCAGATGAGAACTTAAAGGCAACCTCATGTCGTTGTCTTTGTCTTGCCTAAACGAAACAATGGTCAGGTGTAAAAGCAGCCTCATTGCAGTTTTCATGATGCAAATGGTTTTAATGAATTAAATGCAGGGAAATGTTTGGCTGGTTTTGGATGAATTTAGTAGTGTATGTATGATGGAGATCAGTGCTCAATGCAAACGTGTTTCCTTCACACTGGATTTTTTGTTCTGTGTTTTCATTTGACTGTTTAAAGTTTAAAGTAATATGTTAGTTGCAGTAGTTAATGGCAGTGTGTGCGCCTGCATGCAGTAGATTATATTCTACTATACGTGTATATATGTATGACAGGGTGTGCTTTTTTTTTTTTCTTTCATTGATCTTTGAGCCTAAAAGATGCTAACTGAGCTGTCGTATATATTTTGGCATAAAAATGAAGGATGAGGTAGGATGGGGTTGTGAATGTAAAAGTCGTCTCTACCCACTAATTTTGTGCCCTGATCCTTCACTCAGCAAATTTACTGTAGGAGAACTTGGACTGGAAAATGGTTCATAAAATCTAAAAGAAGTTTTGGTTTTTAAAGGGAAGATTGTCTAACAATACCTGACAAGAATGTAAAAATATTAAAACTGCACAACGTAAAAATCGATATTGGAATTTAGTTGATCTGTTAGTCTTTCAAATGTCAGTAGAGAGTGGAAAAATGACATTTTGAAAATTCTTATTTCATTTGACCAATGCTTCAAACCCCAAAGATGGTTTATTGTTAGAAGAGTAGGAAAACAGGACAGTATTGACATTGGACAAGCTACGACAACTGATTGATTTACTAACAAAGTGTTGCAGCTTAAGTCTGGAATCATTTGGCTGATGTGAAAGCAGTTGTTTTACTGAAGAGAATTATACAACTTTGTGATAAGATTAAGTAAAACAAGTTGTTTCAGTTGTTTGCCCTGGTCTGAGTGGCATGCATGGCGGTGACTTATCAATCAGAGGGAAGACGCACAAACATTTTACTCCCGGCGATGTGTGTTTGCATTGGTCCGTATAGCATGTGTGTGTTGGTATGTGGTTAAGGAACTGTGTTCCTTCATCGTGGGGACTTGATATTGACTTGGGCTGTGTCTTCGGGACATTAATTTAACATTAACCATAACCACTTGTTGCCTAAACATAGAGTAAGCCCAGCTTTAAACCAAATTAAATCATTTACATGGAGCCCGAGTCCCCACCATGTGAGCTTGTTAAACAGGATTCAGTCCACACAATGTGAGTAATATCAAACTCTGTCTCACACACACTCAGTCGGTCACACACATTCCAGCGTCATGGTCAAACGACTTGTCTTTCACACAGTTCATTCCTTAAAGCAGTCTGTCCTGTGGGAACTGACTGCATATGGAAAACTTGTCTAAATGAGTCTGCACGTCAATTACATCAACACATTTTCACCTCACTTGCTCCTGCTCTCACCTCACTTTGCTTTCTCTTTCCCCACATCTCTCTATCCATCGCAGCTCTACCCTTTCCACCCGTCTCTCCGATCATTCCAGCCTCTCCTCGTCTCTCTCCTTTTACAACACTTCTCTTTTGTAGTTTTTATCATAAGTGTTACTGAAGAGCCCAGAGCTTACAATAAAGGCTAGGTTTTAATGTAGGCTTATTAATACGATGATCACAGTGACAAGAAAGGTATTTATTAACATTCAAAGGATTTGCCACTGAGACAGGGCTCCCTTTAGTATCTAAATTAGGGTGGTCAGGCTGACAGCAGCCGTGGTTTAAAACAACACATGGGACTGTGTTGTTAAAGGCACCAGTGAGACTGTGAAATAGGATCCAGGGCCTCTGGTTTAAGGAACTGTCATCTGGAGGCTTGTTTGCCAAAACACTGTACAGTGGGTTTTTTTTTATGGGAAGACACTGGAAAATTCTCACAACAGCAGTCTTTTTTTTTTTTTTTTTTTTTTTTTTTTTTTTTTTAAATCTGTGAGTGTAAGAAAAAGCTAAAATTGCCACCTATGGAACGACATAATCAGGAACGTGTGCGTGCATGTATTTAAGTGACCAACGCAGCACCTTGCTGGATGATGTTGCATTGTTTGGAAAAATGGAGCTGGGTTCAAAATGTGTGGCAGAGTATTTAGTGCTTCTTCTTTCAGCTCAGACTAGGTTTTATTCCTATTTACTTTAACTGTTAATTCAACTTCTTGTTATAAACTCAGTGCTATGAGTAGTTTTCACATTTTACCTAGACAAAAAAAAAAATCATTCATTACTTGAAGGCTTTTATGCCACAAACATTGCACTTTGCTTGTTGAGCTACTTGATAATGTGTCAAAGTGTGTATTTGTAGTCAGAATTTATTACAATTACTTTTGCTCTGGAGATGAATCTACCTCTGCACTCGATCCAATTCTGTTCCTCTTCCTTTCTTCCTCCTGAGACCAGTAGGACACGGGCCGGTCATTTTATCTGTATAAAAGCTTAGCAGCACAATTAAGTACATATGTCCTCAAGCCAAGAGTTGAGGTGTGTGTGTGTGTGTGTGTGTGTGTGTGTGTGTGTGTGTGTGATTATCAGTGTGTGTGTTTGTGGTGAGACCATGACCTTGACTGCAGTCCCTAATGGAGAAGGCTGTTCTGTGAATGACTCAAACTCCCCCTGCCGTACACTGGTATGTATCAGCCCATAAAGTATGCTTAAGTCCCACTCTGGTTTCAAGCAGTGGAACGCCCCCCCCCCCATCCCCCCCCACCACTCTCACTCTGAAATAGCCACGTCCTTGTCCCCACATGGAGAACAGTGCGAGTTGGGTTGTGTATATATGCGGCCATAGTTGATTGAGGAACAGATTGCTGGTGACAGGTCACACCACGTTCCATCCCTCTGACCCCCCAGATTAGCGATCCGGAGCCCCCACCTGTTGGGATTCCTCTACGGCTCAGATCTCTCCCTCTCACGCTCACACAGCAAACAACCTGCGTTAACAGAATTCTTCTGTTTGTCTGTCATTGACTCTGCAGGCAACAAAGGCCATTATGACTCATTAAGGTGTGCACGTGCGTTCGAGTGTGTGGGTTGAAAAGATGCCTGTCACAGCAGCTCTCATAATTGCCCTTTTAGCCAATTATCCCTCATTTAAAAGCAAGTTACCTGCTCTGCTCTCATGTCCACACAAGTGCATGCAAACGCCAGACAGACTGAAAAAATAACATAGAAACTTAATATTTAATCATTGTTTGTTTACTGTGTTTGTGTGCTGTAATGCTTGTTGTTGTTGGTATTTGCACCCATTCACACTGTTCTCTCTGCTCTCCCCTTCAGATTCTGATGCACACCAAAGACTTGGTTCAGAAGGTTGGTTATTAACAAGCTCTTGGTTGTAAATGTAGCAAATAATTCTGGAGTAATGCTGGAGAATTGGACCTAAAATACCATCACAGTGCGAGTAGTGAGAAATGTAACGATAATTCTTTTTAGTGGCTGGAGCCCATTCAGCCAACACTGGGCAAGAGGCAGGGTCCACCATGGACAGGCCGCCAATCTGTCACAGGGCTGTTGCTCTACCTTGCCACCAGTTCTACCGCCAGTGTGTCGGCATTAAAAAAACACTGTTTAACATGGAGTACTAATGAAAACACATGCCGTGCTGTTATGGTGCGTTTAATTCTGGCCCAAATTCGACAGTGAATGCCAACAGTAGTATAGCTATAGTTAGAAGCTCGTGCATAATTCATGCACAGTTATAAAGTGTGAAATCATACAGAAGAGATGCTAGTCATGAGTTTGTGGCAAAACCTTTTCTACTGCTCCCATATTGCCTTTTACTGCATATGATAATTCATTATCAAAGTAGAACTGAAGTGACTTTCATTATAAGATGATCAGCTAAAACATTTCATAATGTACCTGCATTGTTTTGCATTTTGTGACTTTCAGCCGAATGATTTCTTAAAAATAGTTCAAATCTCGTCTCGTGCACTCAATATCGCGTATCATTTTGTGAGCTAAGTATATCGTCACACCTCTATTAACCACCGTGTTGCCACAGTCACTTCAAAATTTTTATTTTTTTTTTCCTATTACAACAAATGTACTGTTGTTGGTTATGGTTAGATGTCGCTGATTGTTGTCTGTAAATTATTGACATCCACACAACTTTTATTGTAGAAATTGTGATATGGGTAAATCTGATTTAGTGTCCAATCCTAATGTGAAACTTTCTTTCTCTAACCTAAACTCCTTTGTGTCATGTTATTCCTTTGTGACTTAGATGAATCTGGACGTCATCTACGGAGATACTGACTCCATTATGATCAACACCAACAGCAGGTCTCTGGAGGAAGTTATCAAGCTTGGTAATAAGGTCTGTTGTAAATTTCTGTGGCTGACAGTAGTAAACAAAATGTACATTTCCTCTTTGTGTGTTTCGACAGTTGAGTAAATGCAAATGTGTTTATTATTCCCAGGTGAAGGCAGAAGTCAATAAACTCTACAAACTGCTAGAGATCGACATTGATGGGGTGTTCAAGTCTCTTTTACTGCTGAAGAAAAAGAAATATGCAGCCCTGGTGGTGGAGAATCACGGCGAAGGACGATACAGTGTCAAGCAAGAGCTCAAAGGATTGGACATTGTCCGCAGAGATTGGTGTGGCCTGGCAAAGGAGTGTGGCAAGTACGTTAGAGGAACCCATTACAACTGTGGTTTTCTTGGTATCTGTACACAGACTGTACAGCAAGACTACAGTATTAACATGGATAGAAATGATTACAGTAATAAATGCTTCCATACTGTAGACAAGAGGTTCCCACTGGGGGACAAAAGGATTAAAACGGTAAGAAACAAAATTCTGGGACGGTCAAGTGGTTAGATGTGCAGCCATTGATAGCTCTGTAACTTTGGTGCATGTGGGTGGTGAGTAACACATCCCAGTCGTTGCAAGGGTCTTTAAAGTAGCAGCAGTCTTTAATGAACATCTAAAGTACTTGTATAGTAAAATGTGCTTCTCTCTTCTCTCAGCTATGTCATTGGTCAGATCTTGTCGGACCAGAGCCGTGATGTAATTGTGGAGAACATCCAGAAACACCTGGTGGAAGTTGGAGAGAAGGTGGCAAATGGAGCGGTCCCCCTCAACCAGTACGAGATACACAAGGTCAAGATGTGTTAATTTAGAATGTTCTGCTATTATTGGACCTCACATGTGTGTTTATGCTGTGTATATCCTCATCTAGGCCGACGCCTCGTTGCTGTTGCCTGTCTTTTCATTGTCTCTCATCTTTCGGTTGTCACTTCCAGGCACTGACAAAGGATCCTCAGGACTATCCAGACAAGAAGAGCCTCCCTCATGTCCATGTGGCGTTATGGATCAACTCCCAGGGTGGTCATCGGGTCAAAGCTGGAGACACAGTTTCTTACATCATCTGCAAGGTGTGTATATATGAAAGAAACATGTCTTGGGACACTCTTCCTCAAACCATTTTAGGGATTTTATAATTACATTTCAAGACATTATCATGAGTAAAATCCTGAAATGCACTGATATACCAGTGTTGCGCCATCTAAAGAGAGATTTTTGGAACACTGACCTGTACTGACACTACAGTCACACTGTTGTATGTGTTTCCGTTCTCTCCTAGGATGGCTCCACATTGCCAGCCAGTCAGAGAGCCTATGCTTTAGAGCAGCTTCAGAAGCAGGAGGGTCTCAGTCTGGACACTCAGTACTACCTGGCCCAGCAGATCCACCCTGTCGTGTCTCGCATCTGTGACCCTATCGAGGGCATTGACAGCATACTCATAGCCACGTGGCTCGGTAATTACAGCTTTTGGTAGACTGTAGAAGACCTAATTTTTATTAAGAGTGGGCAGCTCACCATCATTCAGGTGTCAAATTATAACTTGAAGAATATCAGGTTGCCTTATGCCTTAAAATATTAAACCACAGGAAAAGGAAACAAAGTAAAATGTTCAGGTAAAGTATTGAAATGTTTTAATTTAGTGCTGATTGAATCAACTTCCATAACACTTGTACTATTATACTTATTTTATTAATACACCCTAGTAATGAATCCTAATATAAAAACACAATCAAGCCAGTTTGTATAACCTGGTGCTGAATACTCCCAGTTTTTTTTTCTGTATTGATGTAAACCAGCTGAAATCAAAGATGAGAGTGCCACTTTAATGTAGAATCCATTATTTTTCAGTTTTTATTGTCAAATTGAATGTGCTGATGTGCAGAGGCTGAACAACAAGTGGGTAACTGTGCAAATAAAATTGTGTGTTGAAACAATCTGTAGTGAATGCTCTTGTCCATCTCAGGCCTAGACCCCAGTCAGTTCAGGGCTCACCAGCAGCACCAGAGGGAGGAAGAGGCTGACAGTATGCTGGGAGCTCCGGCCCAGCTGACCGACGAGGAGCGCTATAAAGACTGTGAGAGGTTCACTTTCACCTGCCCACAGTGTGGTACTGACAACGTCTACGACAGCGTCTTCAAAGTAGACGTAAGTAAACGGAGTATAAAGTGTTAGCCATCGTGCAAGTCTCCCAGCCGTATTATGTTACAGGATTCCTATAACCACAAACAAAGAATAGCATTTCAAAATTGTTTCGTTTCTTCTTTTCATTGAAAGATAAGTGTCCATGAACCATAGGAAATTTTATATCTGTTCAAAGTGTAAAAACATCAGTTCAGGGGGTTATTCCTCACTGGGTGCCAACTTCTCTTTGCCAAGAGTGTGCCACATAAGAATTTATAATGGATTAAACAAACGATGTATAACATGAGCTTTAGATATGACTGTAGGTGGATTTTGCCATCTGCCTGCCTCTGCAACTTGAAATTTACATCACACACACACCCTCTCAGCTACATCATCATCTCAAAGGAAATGTTGCCACACTATTAAAATCCTGTACAGATCTCAGGGCCACGTTTTAATGCATTAAACCTACATAGGTCTGACTTGGACTTCAGCAGAAGAATAAGTTGAGTCATGTGTGGTCACACAAAACCACAGAGAGAATGAAGTGAAAAACAAAGTTGTTTTATCGTTGTGGTGTTTCATTGGTGTAATGGATTAATCAGCAGAGACACAAATTGACAGAATGAAAGTGTCTCTGAGGTGTTTGAAAGTTTCCTATGAAGGATCCTCGTTTTAGTCGTCCTCTATATTGTGTCTTTGTCTGTATTTTTAGACAGCTGCCTGGCTCCAGCACAGACTTTGTTTTCATTGGCATACTTTGGACTCCTCAACTTGAAAAGCCTTTCCTTAACCCCCGCTGCTCTGTGGACACATACACACTGATCTCCTGCCATTTGTCAGGCCAAGGTCTTGTCTGTGTGTGTTACCAGCCTCTAATGAGGAGCAGGGCACGCAGGTTTTTCTTGTTTGGAAGATGCTAATAAAACTGACAAGGCTCTGTCCTCCGCTGGCTTGGAGAACATTCATTAAATTAAATGAGGAGTATTGCACACGCAGCCCTTAAA